CAACATGTCAATGAAAGGTTTATTCAATTTCAAGCTATAAAATCTTTGCTTAATTCTGTTCATTATACGTTATGTATAGAAGATATTCAGCAAAGTAGCAAACGAGGGAAAACACGTGCTGGATTGATCATCGCCTAATTAATATTTCTTAATTTTTTAATCGCATTGTGTATATTAAATTACTCTAGCGTTAGTCTGATCGTTAAGTTTATGAAACAACGTAAACTTTACCCGAGTAACCGAGTAGCTTAGCGGTCGTATTTACAACTAAACGTTAAAATACATAACGCAGTGCATAGAAATCAGTTGTTAGGAGACTCTACAATCAATCGAAAAATATAATACTGTTCTGCACAACTATAGAACAGCAGTAGCTTAAAGAGCAGTATTTGATTTGACCGGGTTTAACCGCAAATTATAAAAAGTTTTTACTCTCGAATTCTTTTACGTTTAAACAGATTAATACGAAATCAGCAAGCACGCAACAATCGTTCAATTTATACCAAAATGCGCAAAGTACGGTAAGCTCAATTTTTGCAACGCCGCCTGGACAATAACTGGTGCCGAAATCATCACTCTAGTTGAAACCAAAGTCAAAGTTGTTTAAGATAATCACACGTGTAGAAAAAGTATATTAGAATACTAACTGTATCAATAAATGGTCTTCGTAAACAGAACATCTAATGACACCAGGCTTAACCCATTCGACAGGAAACTCACCACCTTGAAATGTAAAACAATTGCGAATCGTGCTCCAGAATCAACGGTGGTTCGGTACTCCGCGATTCTGCACTAAACCACTTAAGCAGTGAAGTAAAAATGTGCAAACAATTTAAAAATTAGATGAACTATTTTAAATTAATGCGTAGAACACCTTAACAGTTTCGTTTTGAGGACAAAATTGTAACTTTGATAAAGTAGCTTTAAAACTGAATTTATCAAATACCTGTATTCCTTATGAGGACGATGCGAACTCTTGTGATATTTACGATCGCGAGAGTGGCTGCGAGATCGGCTGCGTGAGTACGAACGGCGATATCTATCAAATAAAAAAAAACATTAACTTTTTCGAACAAGCTAAACAGATCTTGACAGAACACTGACCGCTCCAAACCTCAATATTAAAGAGAAGCAAGCTTATACATAAAATAGAAGCATGCATCGATAGAGTAGTCAGTGTCCGTGAAAAAATATTCTTTTATGGGAATGTTTCATTCAGATGAACGTTTCATTCAGATGATGTTTACGGGAATGATGTTTATGGGCATGTTTCAATGATGTTTATGGGAATGTTTCATTCAGATGAACGAAATTGGGTAACAAAATGAAAGTCACTTTCGGTGTCTGCACAGTAATAACACCGGTAAATTCAAGTACTGTACTGAGTATGTGCTGAACTTCAAGGCGTGTGTTCCTGCTGTAGAATTCATAAATTTCATACACTGGAACTACAGACTCAACTTAGACACGGACAGCGTCGCAGTTAGAAACCGACGTCGACCAAACCAACTGCCGTCTGCAGACCCTGTCTTGTCGATTTTTTCTATGCTGACCTCAGTCTCTCAATGCGACTGAGGTGAAGATCAGTCTGACTAATGTAGACGCTTCAGGACTCTGGAGAAAGGCCATTCCATTTGTTTTGTAGGAGAGTTGAGAATAACTTCACCAAATGCACAAGTACATCGGGATAGCATCCATGAAAAATGGTAGACAGGATGCAGAAATAAGCATGAGGAGTTCAAACAAGCGCAGTTACATCGAAGCTAAGTCAAGTAGTTATCAACAGTCAGACGACGCTTTATCATCACGCATTGTCAAGAGCGCTGGACAAGGTGTTATCCTGGATACAACAACGAAGTGAGGTCGCTTCGAAAGACTGCTCGTTTGATAAGAGTAGTAAACTAGAACATCAATCTGAGATACTTCCTTCTCCGGATCACGAAACTACTGCTATAGTGGATGAGATCCGGATACAGAAAAAGATTCGCAGTTGGATTCTAAAGCCACTGGTAGGCGGCCAGCGAATGGTCGTTTGGAACCAGATGGTTTGAACATATTTCTCGCCTGCAATGAGTATAACGGACATTTAATTTAATAACGGAAATGAATTTATTAGGTATGCAGATACTCTATGTATTCGCTAATAACCGATTAAGTAACATTTTGTTAACAGACTTGTTCGACAAACGTAAGAGTTAGAAGAAGCTCAATGTCGTGGAAGATATAAACAAAAACGATTTAATTCATATAGGCAAAATTGAAAAAGGACCAATTTTTAGATGAAGATTCTAGACCTCTTTAGCAAAGCAATTATACCCAAAAACCTCTACTTTCCAATTAAAGGTCAACAAACCGATGTTATATCAGTAACGATGATTCTCAACAAGCCTAATGCAGACTATCTGCCACTAACGCCGGACTGGTCAAATAGTTTATGGATTCAGCCAACAACCTGCATTCCAATTTGGGCTCGAAAGGGAATAAAGCCCGTTTATTGCGCATTTATTATGCAACTGAAACTGATCATCGCAAAGTTAGAATGGAGCATAACTGGACAAAAAGTTCGATTAAAACAAGAACCCACTTTATTACCCACATACCCTACCGTTAGGGGTAAGCCTGAATGAATAAGGAGAATTATGCAATCAGCGAACATTAGAACTAACTTCAAGTCGAGAGAGAAGCTAAGTTCACTAATGTAAAAGACAAAAGACCAGATTCTTCTGAAGACACGACAATGTACTCTACCACAAAACCAGATCGACTGGCTAACAGATAATTTGCAAAATATCGACCAAATACCATGGCCACTACCGATCGGAGCTGTTGAATACAAGTGAGTTGTTGTGGGTAAGGTGCATAAAAAAATTTTATTTCCGAACAGGCCAATCATCACATTCGCTGTTATAATGAATAGTGAGGACGGTCAAAATCTGCTAACGGTCTTGTGATAAGCCTTCCTGAACAAGACCACGGGCATTATTGTGAATACAGACTGTGGGCTAGAAATGTCAAAGCAGTTTGGATAGGACGAAAGAGCAACGAAGGTAATTTCGCTTGTACCTCTTGAAAATCACGAGTGTTAAGATGCAAATGGTCAAGACCAAGGTTATCGACCAGAACTTTTACTGAAACACCATGGGGCTGCTGACCTTTACGCAGAACGGCAGGGAAATTAATCAGTTTCCTCAGTTGGCATAAAAAGACTGAAAGCCTAATCTGTAA